CTATTTTTAATCCTAGAAGAATGTATCTGTCATTTAGGAAATTAAAAAGTCTCCGTTTTCTTAAGGAACGCCACAGTGAAAGTAGACATATGTAGTCAGACACTGAAGCAGCTTATGGTACTCTTCGATCACCATCGAGTTTCAATACCAAAATTAATTTTGTTCAAAGCTGACGTTTAACTACTCCTATTTTTAATCCCAGAAGAATGTATCTGTCTTAGGAAATTAAAGTCTCCGTTTTCTTAAGGTTAATTAAAGTTGCAGTGAATGTTACAACAGGTCCATTTTGAGCGTGAACGTGTTAAGCTTGGACGAAACACAAGAAAAGTCGTTTCGAGAGGAAAACGGAAGGTCCTTCTCGATGAAAAATGGATTTCCATTTGTACGAGTGCGTCACACGTGTCCAGCGTGAACAGCGAATACAAGAAATCCATTTTTCTCTTGGCTCCGACTTTCGTTCGTGTCACGACCGATCTAATTTTTCTCTATCGAGTCTGTTTCTCCTTTTTTTGCTCTATCGAGGATGACGTTGAACAGAGATTTAAAGGACACAAGAGGGAGAACATGACACGGGGTTTGATCGATGTCATCGAGAGTTTATATCATCTTGTCGATGATCAATTTTACGGGGACGTCCCTCGTGTAAGTTCCATCGAACCGAAGGATCGTTCGGATTAAATGAATCGTTACGTGGCCGAAGATTTAATTGAACGATTCATTAGAGACCGACGGGATCACGGTCAAGTATTGCGAGGCTCCGTGTGTTTCGAATATATCGTACGTTTCTACGAGAACCAGAAGGTTCTGTCTCTCCAGGGTGTCGTTATTTCACGGAACATTTCTCCTTCAGCACGTAGCTGCTCGTTTCTGGGATTCTATATCGATTCCAACTTTAAAAACTGTTAAAGACCCTGCGAAGAAACTGCGGTCGCGAACGAGATATCGATCTTCGATTACTCGTCTCACGATTTATTTTCATTGACACGCTTTTAGTTCGATTTAATGAATGCATAGGTTTTTCGTGTCTGTTTTTAACTCGTTACGAATTTGAATGTACGTGAATTCGTTTGGTTAACATTTTCAATTAGCAAAATTAACAAGAATGCGAATCTCACGTAGATGCTTTGTTAAAATATAATTTATGATTCCGGTAACGAATGACCCTCGTGTTATTCAACGCGCTAAACGTCGTCGGTCAGCGAGCGACCAACTATGCACCGGAACGGTGAAAAATACGCTCGCTCTCAATTCCGTGTTACCGACCGAGACCGCCAGCAAGTACTTGAAAATAATTACTCTCTAACGAGCTTGCACTTAATAACGGCGTGTTTTCTAAGGGCAAAGTACTCTCACGACGGCCAAACAAGCGCGAGGAGAAGCAATTCCGAGCGGCCTTTTGATTTCCATTATCCGTCGTCCCTCCTGAAAAAAACTGAACCCTTGCAATGTTCAGCGGACTACATCAGCTCATTTGAATTGTTAAACGTCCTATGAAATCCGTTTAATTATTATCAGATCTGGATGAATACAATCTTGTCGTGCTATTCGAACAAGTTATCTTTGATAGAAACGAAGCTTTGCTAGAATTGAAATCCGTTCGGAAATCCGACCGATGGAAAGAAAGCTGCCACTGTCATAAATCTGTACAGGAAACGGATGTGCCAGAAGTTCAACTTTCGAACAAAAACATTGGATTCTAGGAGTTGAATCGACTTTTAAATTCCTTCGGTCTTTTGGGAGAACATCCTTTCTGATGGAAATGCGGTGACACGTTGTGATGCAACTAATGTCGATATAATGCGACGTGTGATTTTACGCGGGTGTGATACAATTGATAGGTGGAACAACGAGTAGGTGATATAATGCGTAGGTGATACAACGGATAGGTGGTGTGTGGATGATTCACGTATGTATGTGATTTAACACGTGGAAAACTCAGCACGTAGGTGACAATGCTTGAGTGATTCAACGTGTGGGTAATTCAGCACATATGTGATTTGACGCGTGGAAAACTCAATACGTAGGTGACACAATGCGTGAGTGATTCAACGTGTGGGTAATTCAGCACGTATGTAATTTGACATGTGGAAAACTCAGTACGTAGGTGTCGCAATACGTGAGTGATTCAACGTGTGGGTAATTCAGCACGTATGTAATTTGACACGTGGAGAACTCAATACGTATGTGACACAATGTGTAAGTGATTCAACGTGTGGGTAACTCAGCACATATGTGATTTGACACGTGGAGAACTCAATACGTAGGTGACACAATGCATGAGTGATTCAACGCGTGGATAATTCAGCACATATGTGATTTGACACGTGGAGAACTCAATACGTAGGTGACACAATGCGTGAGGGATTCAACGTGTGGGTAATTCAGCACGTATGTAATTTGACATGTGGAAAACTCAGTACGTAGGTGTCGCAATACGTGAGTGATTCAACGTGTGGGTAATTCAGCACGTATGTGATTTGACGCGTGAAAGACTCAATGCATAGGTAATTCAATGTGTGAGTAATACAACGTGTTGATAATACAATACGTAGTTGATACAACTCGTTGATAATTGAACATCTGAGTGATTTAACGTATGGATAATTCAGCGCATAAGTGATACAACGCGTGGAGAATTCAACACGTAGGTGATACCTATAGATTCACCCTGTGGGTTATTCAACGCGAAGTGATTCAACGAGTGAATAATTTGAAGTGGTTCTAATTCAATTCGTGGGTTCTATACCGTGTGGGTTACGCAACGCGTGATTCAACACGTGAGTTAACACATGTATAATACGATGTAATGGTGCGAAAATGCTGAAGTTAACATTAACTTACGATCGAAAATCTGATTATCGTAACTCTATATCCTCGAAAATAGTGACCATCCCGAAAGATTTGATCTGTTGCGTGACGAATCGACTCGATTATCAGTTCAGGATTTATTCTTATCGAAAGACGAATGGCCGCGATATGAACTGACCCGACCCGGTTACATGTAACGAATGTACGTTGTTGATTAAATTCGAATCGTAGTTTCGCGTCGTTCGAATGACGTTTGTCTTGTAGCGATGGTGAATTTATTTACAGCGTTATCTCGCAGCATTGGTTGCGCGGATGCATTAGCCGACGATATAAAATGTCCAATGAAACAAACAACGAAGAACGGCGACAGTTATTCGGTTTCTTTGGCCGTTTTTTCTCGTGGATAAAACTCGGCCAACTCGAGGGACAGTTTCGGTTGTAACTCAGAATTTCCACTCGAGATAAAGAACGAACGCGGCCTCGTGGAAACGGACATTAATTAGTGGAACGAAACGCGTCACGTTTAACCGTGCTAATTTGCGGATAGCTCGTTCCCTAAGCACGATTTTTCACGCATAGTTTTTGCCAAGCTCTGTGTTCGTTCAACGGAGACTTTCAAATTAAACGTTCGCTCGAGCCGCGTTTTCTTTCCTTTTTTTTCCTCGCTCCTCTCTCCGTCCGTTTCTTTTTCCCTTCTTCCGTTAGCGCTCCGCTCTTCTGGATGACGAAACAAAATTTGCGCACCCGCGTTTCTTTTATCCTTCGAAATTGCGGCTCGTCGATTCGCCGGCGAGCGAGCGGCTTCGCAAAGTGATTTTTCTCGTCCACATTGGCAAACTTTTTGTAAGAACAGCCACTCCTCGAACCTCCACGATTCCGTGGAAATTGCAGTTTCGCGCGGCGACAGGGTTTGAATGCGACCCAAGTGAAAAGAAGTAATTAGAGTTATTTCGTTTGAGCGAGTCGGATAGCGTGGAAGGTGCTTAAAGCACGAGGGGAAAAAATTAATTAGCTGCTCATTTGGACAGAATAGCCGGCAGACGGTAAATAGGAATGCTTGTACTTGACTTCGTCTTTACCGCTCTTATCGCTTCATTTTTTCCTTCAACTTTGCACTTTTAAGACGTCGAATCGAACCGCCGTTTTAATGAAAAGAAAAAGGGAATGGTTTCGTTGAAGTTACCGAAACGAAGTTGCGGTCGGGTGATTAATCGCGCGGCGAACACTTGAAATGCTATTTTGCCGCGAAGTACCGACGGTCCGTTTAAATACGAAAAGTATTTCGAATCGTTCACCTAATGCAACTCGCGTGGCGTAGAGAGAACGCAAATTTCGCGGAAACGATAATTAAATTTGTTCGAAAAAACAGCGATTCACCGATGCAATTTTACCCAGCCGTGAACACCAATCCGTAGATTTTCGATAATGTTTTAACTCGATGGCTTTCGTTCTTTGTTACGTATTTATTCGAGCGGGGCTTTTCATTTTTTATTACGACCGCTTAATCGCGCGGATCGAGGGATAAATCGTTGTTTTCGTTTCGAGCGAGAGCAAATACGATTATTCGGTACATCGAGAAATTTAAAGCCTATGGAAAATAAAAGGCTAAGTTCGTGCCAAATTTTAACGGGTCCTTCGTGTAATCGCTTTGCCATTAATATTCGAACTATTAATTTTGTCGCGTTAGTTTCATCGAAAAGGAAACACGTTTCTATTTACAACAGGCTTTCAAAATGAAACGTTGCATGTTATGAGCAATTACCGTACGTTTCATTAAGGTTAGAAAAGTTAGCGCGTGGAAATCGAAAGTTTGAGAACCCGCATTTTCAGATATTTGTTTACAGAGAAAAGGGTGTAAAACAGTGTTTACGCAAAGTGATCGCGTGACGATATCATAACAGAAGGGTCGAATGGGTTAGAGGTAAAAGCATCGAGGCTAATCAATAATCTCAAAGATTTGCCCGGTATCCAGCGCGATCGGGTGAAATTTTCCGGGCAAACAGTATTGCGAATCGGAAATTCATGGTTGCACTCTAATACAGGTTCGTTAAAATTCCATTTTACTTAGGTAAATGTTTTTCCAAGCTGAATCCTCTTTCATTGAATTTTTAATTCACAATCATTCGGGCAAACTTGCGACGGACAAAGAGAAGAAGCAGGTGAAAATATCGGAATTGACGTTGATCGCTTACCTGACAGAGTTTGACCGCCTTACGGCGGCC